GGCCTTGCGGATCAGTTTGTTGAGTCTGTTGGCGTCCGCCACCCTCAGCCTGCTGCCCCAGCACACAACAGCATAGAGGATAGCACTGGCCACCACAGACTCATAGAAAATCCTCAGCATAGTCCGGCAGATGTTGAAGGACCTCAGTCGCCTCAGAAAATAGAGACGGCTCTGGCCCTTCCTGTAGAGAGCGTTAGTGTTCTTAATCCAGTCCAGTTTACTGTCAATGTGTACCCCCAGGTACTTATAGTCCTCTACAATGTCCACACTGACCCCTTGGATGGAAACAGGGGTAACCGGTGTCTTGGTCCTCCTCAGATCCACAGCCAGTTCCTTTGTCTTTGCCACGTTGAGCTGCAGATGGTTCTGCTCACACCATGTGACAAAGTTATCCACAACAGCCCTGTGCTCATCCTCATCACCCTTGGTTATACATCCAACTATAGCAGAGTCATCAGAAAACCTCTGAAGATGACAAGACTCTGTCTGGTAGCTGAAGTCCGTGGTGTAGAGGGTGAAGAGGAAGGGAGAGAGGACAGTCCCCTGCGGGGCCCCGGTATTGCTGACCACTCGGTCTGACACACAGCGTTGCAAGCGCACATACTGTGGTATCCACATGAATGCCAGGACCAAAAGTTTCCCTGCAGAACATTGCATTGTAATGAAATGATCGATGTTATTCACTTCACCTGTCAGTGGTTTTAATGTTTTGGCTGATCAGTGTATGTACATCATTATAAATCTGCACCTTGGAGCTCAAACATCCAAGTGAAGTAAGTGAAGCACATTTTTGAGTGGACTGTGACTTTAAAGTTAAAACATAATAAACCAACAGATATACAGTTTTCTTACTGAAGAAGTATCTTCTAGGATGAGATGTGTGAGTGTTGAGCAGCACTGCCTGTGCTGTGTGTGCTGATAAGTCATGTTGAAGTGAGGGCGGGCTGAGTCAACCTGCCACTCCCCGCTCAGGCCTTCACGGGCGCGCGCCTCTGCTTCTGCGCGCGCTGTCACGCTTTACTACCAACGGGTTCGGAATTCCAGGGAGGAAGTCGCCGAGATTGGGAAACGAACAACTCCGAAGATCCCTGAAAACTAACCTGGATACGAGAAGAAACCAGAACACGGGCATTCCTCACCGGGGAACAGTAGGAACAGCCAACTTTGGACTATGGACTAGAGGCGCCGGGTCGCAGCAGATGGAGGCGGCGAGAAGTTTGGTGTTTGTCGGGGCCGTGCTGCTCGGAGTGACGGGCGCGTTGGCCAGAGAAGGTGGGTAACTTTCACAGCTTTTCTCGCCTTTAAAGCCTCCACTTCCAACAAAGTAGACACTCTGTATATATGGAATATAAAAGTGGAGTAAGTGTGTTGTGTTTGGGTGAATGTTCGAGTTTCGGCTCGGTCCATATTTCAAGCTAGGAGCACATTCCTGCGCGAGCCCTCGTCCTGTCTCAGTCCCCGCTGAGGCTCGTGGGATTTATGAAGCGCTGATACGGAGAAAAATCACACCTGTCACAAAGTAGCCTCAGCACAGATTTACTGTTTGGACCCAAACATTTTTGTTGCGCACACAAACAGTGCTGGGACATAGTAGCAGCAGTAGCAGTGAAACAGGTGAGAAATATGAGAACCTGCTTTGCAGCTTGGGGACAGATACATAGAGACTCTGGCTGACTGGTGTGTGCAGGCGGACGTTAGGCTGGCTGGCTGTACGCGTAAACAAAAACAAACCAACAATCACAGACAGCGCATTGTGTGCCAGGGATCATGACGATGTCAATTATTCACTTCTGGCTCTAAAGAGGACATTGTCTGATAGAGGGCCACTTGTCACACTTGGAGCTTGAGTGCATGCCAGTAAAACAAGAGCTAACTGAAAGTGCAAACAAGTGCATAGTTGCAACATAGTCCTACAATGTTTTACCCCTTTTTAAATTTTTAATATACATATGATAATGCAAAGCAAGAGAGCATTTAATAAAGTGTTTGCATAATACAAGTTGCTTGTTTAAGTTGGAAAAATGGAAGGAAATCATTTCCAACATTCTTTTATTGATCAAACTGAACATTGACATGAACGCAAGATGCACCAAACTAGGGCTGCAACAAGATTTTCACGGTACAATAACTGTCTCCTAAAGTATTGCAGTTTCACAGTATTACAGAATCTATATTATTAGCAGTCAGAATTACCCTTAAAAAGGCAAAAGCAATTTACACAGTATGAGAACCATCAACTTTTATATCATAGTATACCTTAAAACCAGTATATCGCTGCAACCCTGCACCAAACATGAATGGATTACTGAAGGGGCCTACTGGTTACAAGCCCAGAGGCACAACATGTGAGGGAGCCCCCTGACCTTCACTTGAAATATGTCAAATGTCAAATTAATAGGCACCAACCACAGTGAGACTCAAAATGACCACCAGGAGACACGTAAGACTGCAAATAAATGCAAATGAATCACAAAGAGATACAAAAAACCACAAGAAGACA